TGATGTGGGCCCAACGTTGGTTCCCAACGTTGGTCCCTCGTAGGCTTGTCCTGCGGCCCCACGTTGGGCCAACGTCAAATGCGGAAGTGCGCCATGATATTCAGGGGGTTAAAGGAGGTTCCGATTGAGATTGTATTGCCGTACGTCATTGTTCAGCTCCCCTACCGGGGACATTGCCACCGAGTCTCTCTCGGTTTGGCCGGAAATACTCCAGGGAGTAGTACTTCCTCCGATAGCAATCTTTTGAGGTCTTCACTTTCCATAGCAGGATTTGAGCCCCATTAGGCCCTTCATCCACAATGGATGTGCTTGTCCGGCAAGATTCAGGTGATGATATCTTTAACCACACCCGAACCTTCCCGAGGGATACCAGACTCAGCCTCTACAATCAGAAAAAGACCTCCGTTTCATCATCCTTATATCGAGTGGAGCCCCAATTGGAATCATGCTTCCTCCACTCGCAGTCAACTTGGACCCAACATATTGTCCTGCTGGGGGTGCCACCGGGGTTGTGGTGAATTGGCAAATAAGCACTAAATAAATACCGCGGGGGTCCGAATTTTGAAACGCCACCTAGCCTATGACCATCCCCGGACCAAATGAGGAAGCCATACAAAGTTTGGCCGCACTGGGATCAGAGGCGTGGCCGTGCATAAAGGACAGACAGACACACAAACACTCTGAAATATAGTATAGATGATTTCCGATTTCCGTGTGACGTCTGTAATTAGAATAGTTTGCAGGGAAGAAACCAGATCATAAGTAGACGCCCGATTGAGACACGAAGAACTCACTTGTGGAAAATGGAACCATCTACCACGAATCCCAAGCAGGCGATCACGTGATCGTATGGGAGGCGCAGGGGGAAGTTGTCGATGGCATTCTCGCCGTCCGGCTTCACCCGAAGAAGGTTCGCGGTGTTGTATTGGCCATCAAAATCCGGAGTTACGTAGATTTTCCCGTTTTTCCGAATCAACTTGAATCGGTTGATGTCGCCTTCCAGGAGACCGTCGAGGGACTTGAGCTGATACGTGTCCACGATCGCGTTGTTCACGCCTCTGGAGAAGCCACGTCTCGAATGAGTCCTGCGTTATTTTCTCATGAGTTTCTTCTGAGGAAAGCGACAGACGACTGCAGAGGCTGCATCACCCACAAGGTCCTTTCTGCTTGGGATCAGGCTGGTATGTTCACGTGGCACAAGCACATGAATATCTACCGCAGGCGGCAGAGCTTGCGCCTTAAGGGACCACTTCCTTGAAAATCAAAATGGCCTGCAAGCGTCTCCTTATTCCAAAAGGGGTCTCTCACCCTGTCTACAAAATCTTAACGTTTTTTCGCCTACGATTGGATGCGCCCATCTCACGAGAAAATTATTGGAGCGAAACTTGATTTGTCCAACACTTGCTGCCATTTCTGTACGAGAGAAGAAGCAATTAAAGCTTTGTTCAACTTCTGCTTTGAGAAGCGATTAGTAGTGTTGGGGATATTATCTCGAGAGAGAATGTTAACATATGAGCGTGGATTCAGGTGAATGTGAAGGCCATAGCCATAAATCATGCAATTGCAGAAAATGAATCCAGCATTGAGCCGGCGGTGTTACAGTCTGTGTCAAGCAACATGCTTCGCCGGACACTCTTGCGTATTGAACATGGCCGTGACCACTTCCAACATACGTTGTGACGTGTTCAACATATGTGTAAAGATACCAAGGAACGCGATTCTAGTTGTTGCGTTGAGTCCTGAGACAGGACCCAGACATTACACATTTCCATCAGGTTCGAGAGATCTTGATCTTAGGGTATCTTTCAGCTCTAAGTCTTCTCTGGCTTCCTATATTAGTCCTAATTCATGGTACGTAAACGTAAAGGTGTCATAAACTATGTTCTCCTCCTTTCAGTAGAATAACCAGGCAAGGGGAAACGCTCGGGAAGATGTGTAATTTGAATATCGAGCCTGTCGAGATAGGTGAAAAAGCCCTCAGACAAGGACGAAATAGCTATGAATGGGCGTGAAAGGTACCACAGGCACCACAGGAATGAGAAACTGAAAACGTCTAGAAGACAGGGAAATCCTAGCAGCACTTGCCTTTCTTCTGCATTAAACTCAATATAACAGGGAGATATCGAAATATGTAACGGTCACCCCCATCTATAGACACTTCCTTGGGGGAGTTGCTTGCCATTTTCTAGATCTAGAGGCCCCGATGTCAACGATAGCTATCTCTTGCTACATTACCGCTGTCCCTATCAGTGGAGGAAAGGCTATCTCCTTGAACAGCGCTTTAACGAGGGAGCTGCAAGCGGGGCGCCCGCACAGGGCGCTGCCACGAGGGGGCGCCGATTGGCCGACAAATATAGAATGTATTGATTAATTTTAAATCAGTTAAATACCATCCAGAACTAAAATAAACTAAACATGTAAATATATTTTTGTACTATTAATATTCATTGTTGGTGATAGGGAAGCTGGAGAGGTACAAAGGGGCAGGGGGGGAGGGGCGCTGGATCGATATCTCACAGAGGGCGCCAAATATCTCGGTACGACCCTGTCCTTGGGGCCCCTGGAGATATGAGAAAGCAAGGAAGCGAGAAGATCCAGCTCCCTTCAATAANTATCTCTTGCTACATTACCGCTGTCCCTATCAGTGGAGGAAAGGCTATCTCCTTGAACAGCGCTTTAACGAGGGAGCTGCAAGCGGGGCGCCCGCACAGGGCGCTGCCACGAGGGGACGCCGATTGGCCGACAAATATAGAATGTATTGATTAATTTTAAATCAGTTAAATACCATCCAGAACTAAAATAAACTAAACATGTAAATATATTTTTGTACTATTAATATTCATTGCTGGTGATAGGGAAGCTGGAGAGGTACAAAGGGGCAGGGGGGGAGGGGCGCTGGATCGATATCTCACAGAGGGCGCCAAATATCTCGGTACGACCCTGTCCTTGGGGCCCCTGGAGATATGAGAAAGCGAGGAAGCGAGAAGATCCAGCTCCCTTCAATAAGTCCTCAAATTCCATTTTCTTCCGCTCTTACCTCTACCGATGATCAAGACGGACTTCCCCTCGTATTTCCTGGGATTCACATCGAAATCGCTGTAGTTTTCCATGTATTCGGAACCTGGGATTCTCAAGCGATACGGCTTCGACCACCCCGTCGCCACAATCAACACCCTGCACGAAGAACAGCAAGCAAAGGTGACGCCTACTTTAAAGTCTGGAAAATCTGTCGAAATCAAGCAGAGACTGATCCCATGACGACGAGCAAGAAAAATGTCTCTCTCTCTCTGATTGCGTTATTTCAGTTTTTGTATGATACGATCGAGCTCACTATCATGCCGGCGTTGAAGTCTTTTCACATGTCAAATTACGTGAAACTTATGTTTTAGATTACTTTAAACTAGGGCTGTTACTCCGATTAGATTAATCGACCGGTTAATCAATTAAATTATTCATCACTAATGGAAATTAATCGAATTTTAATTGACCCCCCCCCCCTCTAAATCCCCCCTGAATATCTCTTTTTCCTCTTAAAAATTGATAGTGTAGGGTTCATAGTTTGGCAAAACAACCAAAAACGAACGCTTTGCCAAGGGAACGGAATGCTATGATGGTCTGTAGAAGGTAGACGTTTTCGCACTGCTCATACTCATGCTCATGCTCATACCTCAAAAATGACATACAGTTTTTTGGAAGATGGGAACGCACTAAAGCAAAGTCATCGCTCCCCAACCAATCTAAAAAGAATCTTCCTGACCCATTCGCATCCACAAGCGTACTGGGAAAGCCGGAGGCAGGCGAGAGAAGAGGAAACGAAAGGGTTGAGACCCTCAACTATTCCTTGCTTTTTCTGCTCTTCCATTCTTTGTTGCCCGTGAATCGATAATGAGTCTAAATCTCCACGTGATGAAGTGTCACCATATACCTCCAATCATTTGGGTAACATTTTGCATCCTTCCGGTATGAGTTCGATGAAAATGAAAGTTGCGAATGATACATTTCCGGGAATTAAAAAATCTAGATCTACGCGAACCAAGAGACCCAGCTGGAGACGCGAGGGTGCTCATAGGTCCCACAAACCGCTGGAAGGGAGTTGAACAGCGATCGTCTCGACCAAAGTAGTTACAGAAGACGAACGAAAGCTTAGCCACACTCTAATGCAAAAACGAAGATTAACACTGAAAAGAGTATTAAATAAAGCTCTCACCTGCACCCGAGTTGATTACCGTGTTGATCCTGCATGTAGAAAGAAGTTCCATTCTCCGTCTTCACGTTTGAAGGCAATCGGGTGATGTTTTTCACTTCCGTGTTGAACTGAACGTTGATTCCCAGCTTTCTGTGATAGTCCTCTAAGTATCTCACGAGGTCATCGGCCTTCGGGGGTCAACCAATTTTCATCGAGAAAGAGGAAGAGGGATCATAGAATTAGGCCACATCCTCAAATCAAATCTTGCTGTAAGAAAGCGTAAAAAAAAAGAGTTATTGTAGCACAAGAAGCTTTCACTCCGGTCGCAATCCCGATGCACTGCAGCATGGTCAAGATGACTCTCTCTGCCTCGAATGTCAAGAGGTAAAAAGTTCACATTGTCTCGACCCAGTCAAAAAATTAAATTTGCTTTCGCCTCGAGTGCTATCTTGCTACTCTGCAGATCAATGCTATCTGCTACTCTGCAGATCAATGGCTCCAAGTCGTCCTTGGAAGTTCCTTTGCTGACCGTCCAAAGACAGACTGGCACATCGCTTCCGTCGTAATGCCGAACTCTAAATGAATGCATGCGTCCATTTATAATGTCACACTATCTATACTATAATTAAAGCTACTGCGTGCATCTCACTTAGATGAGAGATTTGAAGGAAAAAAGAACTACAGAAATCCCATGATCGTGACGTCATTCCATAAAACTGTCATTCAGTAAAATGGAAATATTGAGCGTTCGATAGAAATTCCGCTCGGATAAAACTCAGAATGCATAGAAGAATATCAATCCACGGTGATGACATCCTATATGCATCCAAAGGACGACCGCTTCAGGATTTATATCCATCTCTGGACAACTGGACTGTCCATGGACGAGTTTTGAATCACCAAATTGATGATCCAAATTTTAAAATCGTTGACTTGGTGAAGATTTTTTAAACTATGATTTCCTACTAGATACTTTCGTTGATTGCGACACGATAAGCGTTCTCCAACGGATTCAAAGAGAGAAAAACGAGCGACCAAGATTTGAAAATGGAGAATTCCTGCCCTCCTCTAGCATTACCTAGTCGGAGTCGACGAGAGATAGCTTTTCACCCACTTTGATAATACAGTATATTCATGAAAGACTCGGATTGCTCGTTTCTCCACTTACATGAGGGAAGAACTCTTTGGAGTAGAGCGGGAATCTGAGGGAATCGTCGTGGCTCAACAAGGAATTCCAGTCGTGTCTCTCGTTGAAGAGTCGATTCTTTCTCCCCGTGAACCTCTTGTTGATGCTGATCAGCATCCGATGCCGAGGATATCGCTGATAAAAACTACCTGCAGAAGAGAAGTAAAAAAAATCTCTTCCATTTAAAGCCGCCAAAACATTTTTTCCCCAAGTACTCCTCAGTTGGACTACTAGTAGAGATTGGAATGGATTATGCTCGATTGGAAAACTACGAAATTTCTTGGCTCATGGAGCAGAAGCCTTCACTCGATTCCACTTTCCAGTTTATTTCATTCAGAAAATTCAATCGCCAAATCGTTGCGACTCTCGCGCGTCGACGGTCTCACAGCCATTGCGCCTATTAAGTAGGAAGTCACAGTCATTATCGCAATAGAGCGTACGATTGATCGCATTAAACCTTTCTGGACTGCGTGTGTCTTTCGTGCGATAGCGTGTGCCTGTGATAGCATATGTCTTACCGGGTCGATCGGCCTTGTCGTAAATTACATAATCTCGTCCGGTTTGTTGCAAGAAATAACCGAGCTGGAGACCCGCCGGTCCAGCCCCGACGATGCAATATTCATGGATGGTGGCTTGATTACTCAATTGATTATCCGTTGTTCCTTCCAGGTAGCCCAGGAAACACAGCAGAGGTGCCAGAAAGTCCACAAATCTACGGAGCTCCATCCCTGCAACAGAGAAATGCTCAGCAGTCTCGCAGGAATCGCATGATGCGTGGGAAAAAGCTCGTTTTAGGATGCAACGAAAAATTTGTTCGAGATTTTTGGCCATCTTTCTCTGACATGGGTTCGGTCTAATCGTTATATTGTCAGATCGGTATAAAGGCATGGCATTACTTGCAATTAATTCTTCTTCATAGTCGCCTCTCTGAATAAGGGTAGAAAAATCTTAAGACTTGCAACCCTACACTCTTAGAAAAAGGGGAGCGATTTTTCTCAAAAAAGAGATTAAAATAGCAATCTCCAGTTTCACCCCCCTTTCACTCTGGGAAAGGAGCGAATTTACTCCATCACCAAGGAGTAAAATTGCTCTCCGTGAGTAAAAACGCTCCCATCAGAAAGTGATAGAGAGGTCATGCAAATACGAAAACTCTTATATATAATGTGTGTCGCTTTCGCTCTCGTACAGGCGATGACCTACCTCTGACAGTACTGATTGCAGCACAGGTCAGAGGGTGGGTTACATCTTATAGGTTCCGTGGAGTATCCGGGATATCATTCTCTTATTACCTCAATTAATTGAGATATATGAATAAATGAAGTTCACAGACACTCTATTCATTCTAGATCTCCTATGCGAATAAAACCAAACGCGTTCCAAAAGGGTTCTCAATATGAGTTTGTTTATGGCCTGGACTCCATGAATATGTCTTGAATATGTGGATAACAAATGATGAAGTGTCCGTGTTTATTCATTCCTATAATGAGACTAGGCTAGTTAGCGATATATGAATTTATCACTATCCATTTCCTTGGATAGTGATAAATTCATTTATTCTTTGCGAAATGGGAAACATTTAAAGGACGTCCCCATTGAAATACGTGACATACGGGGACGAAAGTCTTCATTTTTATCAAAATCATTACTTCTATTATTTCTGGTGTGCCTAACTTGAAATCTTTTCATGTGTCCTTTTTTGTAAGGGTGGAGAATACATTTCTCAATACTTCCCTCCTATAATCTACGCTAATGGGGCATATTTCAAAAGTAGGATTTTTCCTGCACTCAGTCATCAAATAGATACTTCTGAGGGAATTTAAAATTTTTTCTGTCTCTGTTTCGTTGGATCAAAAAATAATTCAGGAAAAAGTGACCTGATGAGTTTTAGCGAATTATTTTTTTCTTCTGAAATGTAGACTCAGGGAACTCCATGCCACCCAGTTTTAGCCTTATACATTTCCCCTTTTAAGAAATATCCCCCAAAATTCCAATGTTATGTACATTTTATCTTTTTCCTCAGCTCAGTGCGTCAGCAGTCACGTTCTTGCCAGGTCTCAGCTTTCCACGTGTCACCGTTTGATTGAAGCAAAGAGAACTATTTGAAAAAATGTTCCCCAAAAAGGTGTGCCCCTATGGTATGTATCACCAAAGAATAATTTTTCCTGAACACCGCATGCGAATAGCGACTTGTCAGTCAGCTACTCACGATCCTCTATATATAATAAAAGTATAATTTTTTATTTACTCAGCTATCCATCAGGTTCTTCTTTGCCAAGTTTAAACTTTCTAGCGTCCTCTGTTTTGCTGGATCGATAAATACGCCCTTTGCAATATATGTGCCCTCAGGCGTTTTAATCGAAAATTACATATTTTTTACGGAAATCAATCCTCAGAGAACTACATGCCCACAAAATTTCAACATTATTTGTTTTCCCTTTTCGCTGGTGAAAAAAAATGTTTGGAAAAGCCGACGCACCCAAAAGCTATGCCAGGAGGGGATGCACCATGAAAGCTGAATACTCCCTCAACTCAATAATAATAATATCATGTCACTTATACGTGTGCCAAGTTTCACCTTTCCATTTCTGTCCAATTCGCCACGACAAAATAACTTTTTAGACATCGCCCCTAGAAAAAATNTTCCATTTCTGTCCAATTCGCCACGACAAAATAACTTTTTAGACATCGCCCCTAGAAAAAATTCCCCCAGGGGATGTATCGAGACTTAACATTTTCCTTTAACTCCTTCTCTCAGTAGTCACATTCATGCAAAGTTTCAGGTTTCCATGTTCATCAATATAACTGATGGAAAAAAAATTATTTGAAAACATCTCCCTTTGAAATTTGTGCCCTCGGGGGCATTAACTTCCAAATTCTGAAATTTTCTGCACATATCATCCCAATAGGTAGTTATGTACCAAGTTTCATCTTTCTACAACAGCTCAATACGGCAGGGAAAAAAAAATTCCGTGAAAACCTCGGCTCCTAAAAATATGCCACCACAGGGCATGGATCTGAAATTTTACATTTTTCCCGAAGTCATCGTCTCGGTAGGCATGTCCATGCCAAGTTTCAGCTTTCCACGTCTCTCCGTTTTTCTAAAGCAAAAATATGGTTACTGAGAGGGAATGAGTAACGCGATTTGGAAGGCATAAAAGGCCGAAAGAAAGCCTAGGTACGGGCGGGAATTGAACCCAGGCCTCCTGATTGCCAGTCAGGTGCGCTACCACTACACCACCGAACATGTGACATCCTGCCAACCCTCTCGATGCCATCCTAATCTGTCACAATATATATCTTTAAAAAAATCCCCAGGGCATGTACCTCCAAAGTCAGATTTTTTCTGAACTCTGCATCCCAAAAGGTACAGGTGTACCAATTTTCAGATGTCTAACTTCTCTAGAACATGGTTAGAATTAGCGTCAGTCAGTCACGATCATCTATATATATTAGATGTAGGATCCACGGGCAGAGGTGAAAAAGGCTATTATGTAGTAGCCTCTTCATACTGTTCGACTCGAGACCCACGAGTGTTCAGGTCTAGTCGTGCCCAGTTCGCCCTTAATCAGTCAGTCTCTCATTCTAACCAAACTCTCTTCTTCCGCAATATCTCGGTTGTGTTATTTTAGAGACGTTTCATTCTTGCAGCATTACAAGCTGCAGAAAAAGACGAAAACAATGAGATATGGTACAATTTGGTGGTCTTCAAGGGAGGCGAGAGGTACCCCTCTCTTCGCCTCACCATGCCATGCCGAAACCCGTTCGAGTTTCGTCGCTTTATCCTGCTCGTCAACCCTTCAGGTTCTGGACCATAATGCGCATGCGCGTACAATCCAAGCTTTGGGCACCGTGTCAGCAACCAGAGCTGTCAGTTCATTACCGACCTTTGTGGTGGATAGATCCAACCACGCGCGGCCCTCCATCCTCCCATCATCGTTTCATAGGCACCGTTTGTCTGTTTACTAAATATAAATGAGGTTTTTTATTGTCGAAGACCGGAAATAGACGACAACGTTGGTTGATTAGGAGGCCCACTACTGGACTGGACTTGACCAACTTGTTTCATCTGCGATATTTCCATTTCGTCCTTGCCTGAACTTGGTGGATGATCGTGCCACGATATATCGCCTCGGCGACAGCTGCTCCGTTTTGCACTTTTGCTCTGGCTTTGCACTTCCCTTGGTCTACATAACCCTGGCCTTTCCTTGGAACCTTTCCCTGGTCTACATAAACGATTTGGATCTCGACGTACAGGGTAAGATAAGTAAATTCACCGACGACACCAAGATAGGTTTTACCATAAAGGAGAAGGCGGATAGGGCTAGAGCAAAGCGAGAGTTAAGTCTTTTGGACGAGTGGAGCAAGAAATGGCTCATGAGGTTTAATAAAAGTAAGTGTTAAGTCCTCCACGTCGATCGAAACAACGGTAGGTCTCTCGACACGTTCGGCGATGTTAGATTGGATGAGGCAAACGGAGAGAGAGATTTAGGAGTTTCTATCGATGAGGACCTCAAGTTTTCCTCGCACGCGCAAGCGACAGTGGCCAAATGCAACAGGATTCTAGGTTACATTCGTCGTTCAGTGGCAAGTAGGACTTCGCCTGTTATTCTTCCGTTGTATTCGGCGCTGATACGACCCCAGTTAGAATATTGCATCCAGTTTTGGAGGCCTACAAATAAGGACGATTTGTTGGCGCTCGAGGGAGTTCAGAGGACGGCCACAAGAATGATGAATGAGGTCAGGGGACTATCATACGAGAAGAGTTTAGAAGTGTTGGGACTGCACTCGCTCGAATGAAAGTTAAAGAGGGGCGATCTCATCCAGGCTTTCAAGATAATTAAAGGAATAGATAATGACAAGTGTGGTAGGTTTTTCCAGTTTGATGGCAGCAAGAGAACGAGAGGTAACCGACTTAAGTTGCGCAAACCGCAGGTGCAGCTCAGGTCGAGACAGGATTTCTTTACTTGCAGAGTGGTGAATGCGTGGAATGTGTTAGATGACGAAGTAGTGGCTGCCCCGTGCTGTGACTATCTTTAAGAAGAAACTGGATGTTTTCATGGACAGGCGAAAAGTTGGGGGGCAATGTTGACGTTAGGCACCAGACAGTAAGCAACTAGGATAGTAAAAAAAAAATTATCTTGAAGAGGGTTAGGCCTACCCTAAAATTAATGAACGCCTGACCTCGACACGTGATATCGAAATTGGTGAAATCGCCTCTTGATATCACTATCTTAAATCTTGAATCTTGAAACCTAAATCCGTTTGACTACTCCGTGTGGTTGCTCTTGGAGTCAAGGTTTGCCTTCGCTCACTGTGTTGAGTCCCTGAAGCGGTCCTCTGTTCGAGTATGGAAGGAGATTTCTAAAGAGACTCGGCATGCTGCAAAAATCGACTGACGCTGTCCCATAAGGGCTTGTGTGAAAGTACTTGATGGACGTTTTCAAAATTCTGCTTTTTAGTCTTTAGGGAATGCATTGGCTTTTTGAACTTTTGGCATTGATTCAGAGTAAAATAAAAGAAAAGAGACAAAGCCTTCCTGGCACTGTACAGGTATTGCTCCGTATTGGCTTGGTATACCGGAGGCGACGCATCGTTAAATGGGATAACATGAATTTTCTACATGCACGATCTTCCGTGCCATGGCGCAGGTAGGTCGCGCCGCTTCTGGCAAGCGATGTTCAGCAACGAGTCAGGAGATATGAGAACTTCTTTTACATCGTGCCCTCTGTTTGTATCTTTAGGCTGTTTGGAGCAAGTTACAAGTTATGAATAATCTT